TTCTTTGTAGCTTTGTATGTTCCTCCCCCACAGTATAACCCCTGCTTTCACTGTATTTGATATCGGTATAATTTGTGGAGGGGAAGGGGAAAAACAAGTCGTTTAAATAAGGATACAGGTGGACCTGTTGCAACAATGAGAAGCACAAGTTGTTATGTCAAAAACGAACATTACAACTTTGGCGGGGGGGGGGGGGGGGGGGGGGGAGGATAGGGTTGGGGGGCGGGGGGTTGGAGAAAGGGAAGGGATGGGAAGGGGAAACAGAGGAGGAGGCTACAATGCTTGATAAGAAATGTACTCATTATCTTGCCCATGTAATTGTAACCTCTCTGTACGGTATTTTCACAATAAAAAAAAATGAATGTGATATATAGAGGGATTATGTAAGTCAGGAAAAGAGTACATTTCTTTTTGATCAATGTCACCCCTTCCCTCATTCTTTCAGTTTTCCCCTCTCATCCTCACCCACAAGTTGTATAGTTCATTTTCAAATTAGTGTCTAGTGAATACCATTGTGGCATTTGTTCCCTCTTTGTCCCTCCATTTCTTTGCCTCCCCTTACATTCCCATAGATAGATAAATGAACAAATGGAACAAAAAGGAAAGAAAACAAAAATGTCCTGTTTTCATTTCCTGGAGTTCATTTAGATAAATATAACTTTGTACAATCAAACATACATAGACATATGCACATAGACACATGTCCTCCTTTGGTCTCTTTGTGTGTGAATGTCTAGAGACCTATGTAATTTAGTATGTCTAAGTATATGTTAGATCTAGCTTCTGCATATGAGAGGAAATGTGTCATTTGTTTCTCTGAGCTTGGCTTACCTCACTTAATATGATTTGTTCTAGGTCCATCCATTTCCCTGCAAATGACATGATACTTTTTTCTAATGGCTAAGTAAAATTCCATTGTGTATAGGTTCCCCATTTTTCATATCTACTCATCTATTGTAGCGTATTTGAGCTGTTTCCACAACTTGGCTATTTGCACTCAGCTTTTTATTGGATACCTATCTCAGCCTCCCCAGTATCTAGTATTGGATTATTTTTGAGACAGGGTAGCTTCACTACCTTTATCTGGGCTGGCCTCAAACTCAGTCCTCCTGTCTCCACCTCCTGAGTAGTAAGGACTACGGATATGTGCCACTTGTTTCAGAACTCAGTCTTGTTTTGACTATGAGCTATGCCCCTAGCCCTTATCCTTTCTTTTCTACCTAGTTACTTTCAGCTTCTCTCTGCACACTTCTTCTTTCCCTTTCTACTGGCTTTTGCTTTTCCATCAGGTGTCTTGTATGTGGTTCTCATATCCTTTTTTTTTTTTTTGGCGGGGGAGCATTTTTGGGGCTTGAACTTAGAAGGTCTCTGTCACTTGAACTTTTGGTTTTAGCTTTTTCATAGAGGGTCTCATACTTTGGGCTTCAGTTTTTGTTTTGTTTTTTCATATAGGGTTTCACATTTTTGCCTGGAGTCAGCCTCAGACCAAATCCTCCTACCTTAGCCTTCTTCATACCTGATATTATAGGCATGTGCTACTATAGCCCCCCTTGTCATATCTTTTCTAGCTCTTAACCTTTTAGTTTTCTCACTAAATATCTAACACATTCAGTATTTTCTACATGCTTTCCATTATTCAGGGCTTAATTTATCATTTTGTAATTGGGCCATCTCTTCTACTTTTATAGTTGTAGCAGTATAGTAGCCAGACACCATGTGTGTGTTTCATGGACCACTGGTAAATTTTTCTCAATGTTATAAATACTAGAAGTGCCCTCGGTCTTTTGCTTTCTAGGAGAAAACACTTAAAATAAGATGGTTCATCCTATGTTTTTTAGTCATAGGAGCTTCAGTTTAGATGCTTCTAAATAGGAAAACCAAGAGGTACGTTAGGTTGCTAGCACTATGAGACCCAAATTGCATGCTTTGTTTTATCATTGTCATTTTTCTGAAAATAACCAGAAACTGTTACTGAGTATATGTTCTCTGTAAGACATTACCATTTTAGATGTTTAATTCTTCTGTTTCTTCAGTGAAACATGCAGGAACATGATTTCCTATTTGGCTTAGGTACATATTTGCATTGGACTCCTTGCAGATCTAAGCCACTATCACATCGACCTCTGCAGCACTGGGCTTAAGACAGTGGAGTGGAATTTATTGGATGTTTACATGAGTTGTGTCATTTTACATACTGATACATTAATGTTTTTACAACTTACCTCTCCTCATTCTTACTTCAGTATGTATTATAAGAGAATTTAAATTGAAGCATTTATATAGAGTTATGCAGAATATGATATAAATAATTTATATTCTTTTGAATGTAGAACTGTTCAGGAAATTAAATAGGTTATTACTAGTGACCTCAGACTGATGTTGAATGTCAGTTCTGTGTCCAATGTTAAAAGAGAGCCAACATCTACATATAATCTGTATCTATCAAGATAGGAAGGTTTTTTAGCATCAGGATTTATTATTTGATGGCTCTTCTTAAATCAACAGTAGTAAATATGGAATTGCTTCAGGTTCATTTAGCAAACAAATCTCTTGTGGTTGACTGGTAGAGTGAATATCATTCACAGAGTATATTTCATGACATTTAGTACTATAAATCTTGTTTTGTTGTACATTATTTTATCATGTCTTTACAATATTGTTAGGTAAGATAAATATTTGAGTATTGTTTTAACAAATAAAAAGGGTAAAAAACTGCTTACTCTACATTCTGTTATAAATTACTCATGTAAGAAGAAATAACAGGACAGTTAAAAGCAAAAGAACAGTTCCCTATCCTTTTCTGGAGATCACATACATTTTAAATTTATTGTGTATTACAACTTCAATATATATTTTATATGTGCATATATGTACTCAAATACATGCACAGACATTTGAGCTATGTGCCCAACAAGATAAATTTTTGGATACACCACCAGTTTATTAGTTGAATTATGTTTGGTAGTAGGTAGTGTTACTAGTACCAGGGTCTTACATTTTTGCCTGGGGCCAATCTCAGACCAAAATCTTCCCAAGGTTCCAGAGCTGATAGATGGCGCGTGCACGCTAATTTCTTGACTTTATGTGATTTTTAACTTTGAAATCAATTTTGCTTTTCCTGATGCTTTTTGTAGGTAAAATCTTTTGCCTATTTTTCTGTTGTTTGTTTTTAATTTTGTTTTTGTGCCAGTACTGGGACTTCAACTCAGGGACTTATACTCTTGCTCAGCTTTTCCATTCATAGCTGGTGCTTTACTACCTGCAGCATACTGCCAGTTCTGGCTTTTTGCTGGTTAATTGGATATAAGAGTCTTGCAAATATGTCTGCCCAGGATGGCTTCAAATGCCAATACTCAGACTTAAGCCTTCTTAATAACTAGGAATATAGGTGTCAGCCACTAGCACCAGGTTTGTTTTATATGTAGGCTAATAACATCTCCCTTTTTGTTTTCTTTGTAAATTTAAGATTTGCTTGCAAAGGAAAATTAAGTTTGAGATTTGCTTTCTACTTGGATTAGTAAACTTAGCTTGGTGGTTGATTACTTCTTAGACTTTGGAAAGTTGGTGATAAGATTTTTTTTTTCCTTTGGTCAGGCGTGAGGCCTGGGTGCTGTCCCTATGCTCTTTTGCTCAAGGCTAGCACTCTACCATTTTGAGCCACAGTATCATTTATGGTTTTCTGATGATTAACTGGAGATAAGAGTCTTACAGACTTTCCTGCTCAGGCTGGCTTTGAACTGCAATCTTCAGATGTCAGCCTCCTGAGTAGCTTAGATTACAGGAATGAGCCACCAGCTCCTGGTAATTTTTTTTTTAATAATACCTTTTTCTTTACATGAGCCTTGTGAAATAATGGTTTACTCAGGGTACTATAGACTGAAGTTTATGCTGTATTTACATTGAAGTATATTTCTGACATGTATCAATCAGATATTGTTGCCTATGCTTTTGTATAAAGTGTTGGTCCATCAGAATTATATTGCTATTTATTGCATTCTAGAAATTATATTGCTATTTATTGCATTCTAGAAATCTCAGAAATGTGACAATACTTCTTTACTTTTGCCAACTGTGCCTCCATTTTGGTATCTCAGAGCTTTGGGCTACTTTGAAGATACTTGGCTCACTTCCTTCACTTGTGCTCCCAGACTGCCTCTCTTCATTCAAATAGATTGCTTTAAAGGAAACCCTCCATATAAGATTTTACTTGATGGAAAGTATCTATATGTATCCATATGTAATTTTGGACACAATTATACATGTCAGAATTGTGAGATGGCAGTATTACCAAAGAAATGGAATCTGTTGCACCTCACTCTACCTTGTCCTATCACAGTGTATAAAGCAATTTAGTAATTGGCTTCCACATGGCCATGCCATTTGCAGTAGTATACAGTCATCCCTCGCTATATTGCGGTTCACTTATTGCAGCTTCACTGTATTGCAGGTTTAAAACAATATATCTAATCTGTATCACAAATTTATTGCTATATTGCAAGATTTTGCAGTATATAGGTATTTATCTAATATTTATCATTTTATTTTTGCCTAAAAATTTAAAATATAAAAATATAAAAGATGGGGCTGGGGGTTTAGCCCAGCGGAAGGGTGCCCGCCCAGTGCACACAAGGCCCTGGGTTTGGTCCTCAGCCCTGGGAAAAACATATATATAAAAGATGTTAATTCAAACACATTAAAAGAATATTAAATCAAAATACAGTATGTATCTCATCTGTACTGCACACAATGGAAATGCAGACACCACTACCGCTTGCACAAGTTTGCCAATGTGAGATTGTACACACATACTGTTGCTGATGGAATGGAAGGTGACCAACCGTAGCAATATATCCTGGGTACTGATTAGCTCAGTGACCATACCATTGGTCTGTTTGCTCTCCTGCACCATGCCCATATGTTCAGCATCTCTCTTTGTCCACTTTACATCAACGTCTAATTACTGTTATGAAATTTTGGTAAAAGTTTCCATTTATTTCAAGCCCTATGATGTCACCCAAATGTTTGGTGCCTTTTAAAGCTTCTGGCAGTGAGCTCAAGCGCCAGAGGAAGATGCTTACCATCAAAGCAAAGGTGGAACTTCTCCACATGTTAAAAGAAGGCAAGAGCTATGCAGCTATAGGCTGACATTACAAAATTAACAAATCTACTGTTCACTACATAAAGACAAGGAGATTATTAGATCTATGGCAATGATGACTTTTAACAAGACTGCAAAGAGAGTGATCACTTCTTGCAATAAGGGCATTGTGAATATGGAATCTATCCCTGTGGATAAGTGACTGCAGGAAGAAAAATATCTCACTGGATACCAACACCATCCAGATGAAGACCAAGAAACTTTATGATAGTTTTGTGTAAAGCATGGATGTTCACTATGATGATGAGGATGAAATGAGGATGATGAAGCAGAAGCAGGACCATCAAGTGCTTCTCCCACCAGACCAACCCCATGCATTGCCAACAAGGGCTGGTTTGACAAATTTCAAAGATGCTTTGGACTCAAGAGTGCTTCTTTGCATGGAAGAAGCTGCGGATAAAGCTAGAGCCAAGGAATATATGAATGACATGTTCAAGTCCATGTAAACCTGAACAAGTTTTTAACATGGATGAGACGAACTTAGCAAATGAAGAAGAGGATGAGGAACAAGAGGAACTATGGGTTGGAGAAGAGGAGGAGGTTGGCCTAACACTCAATTGTCTGCAACCATGGTCAAAATGGCCAAAGAACTTTAGTGAGTGGCTGAAGAATGGGACCCTCAGATGCTTCGTTCGTTGTACTTCAGAAATACAATGGAGAGTGGCACGTCAGTTTATAAAAACCTTCTCACTTAAAAGAAAAACCAGTGCCAGCAACTTCCCATAACTATGTCCACCACTTGGACGAAGAGATCAATTATGCCTCTACCTTTAACAAAAATAGAAGTTACAGTCCAGGGCAAAGATACTGTACCACTTGGTGAAGTGCCTGCCATGAAGTGGTGCCTTCAGAAGAGCTGCACAGTACATTCTTCTCATTGTCATTACCTTCATTGCCATCATGCACAGCTACATAATTCATGATTTTGTAGTATACTTCATTGGTGAGTACCCATATAGAATTTTATATGTTGTTAAAATTACATAGGTTTGAGTGTAGAAAGTTTAAGGGCATATGAAGTGTTTATAAGAGTGTGGGAAGCCGGGTACTGTTGGCTCACGCCTGTAATCCTAGCTACTCAGGAGGCTGAGATCTGAGGATCATGGTTCAAAGCCAGCCCTGGCAGGAAAGTCCCTGAGACTCTTATCTCCAATAAACCATTAGAAAATGGGAAGTGGTGCTGTGGCTCAAGTGGTAGAGCACTAACCTTGAGCTGAAGAGCTAAGGGACAGTGCCCAGGCCCAGAGTTCAAGCCCCACAACCGACAAAAAAAAAATGTGGGAAGGGTTTTATAAAGCTTTAATACATAATATATATAATAAAATAAATATAATCTGCTACTTCATGGATTTTTACCTATCACAGGGGTCTTTTGGAACTTTACTCCTGCAATAGATGCGGGATCACTGTACATGGAATATTACCTTTAGTTTTATTTTCAAAAATAGATATTTATGACTATGAAGCCTAAGCTATGGTAGCTATGACAAGTATAATTTGATTGTTTTTAAGTCTTATTTGTATTTTAATTTTAATCCTTTGATGGATTTCCATTGGAGAATGAGCCAAGGGGCTAATCTTTGATGGTATTATGTTACCCCTTGGTGCTTGAAGTCATGGCATTTTCCAGAAGAGGTTTAGGTCTGTCTATCATGGAGAAGGCAAAGGCTGGTTTGTATATATGTATGGCTCTGGCCCCAGTGTCTACTTAAGTTGAAGCAATTCCATTTTTATCTGTTAAATTAGTGAGGTTCAACAAAAGATTAGTTTGAAAGAGGATTTGGGGCTAAAATAACACTTGAATTCACTAGATCAATGGAAAGACATAGTAGTTAAGAAGATTATATTCTAGTTCTATAGGTTACCTAGTTTATAGTTTTAGATAAGGCACTTAACATTATATTTCTGCTTTTCATTTATAAAACAGAGCTAATTTTATCTGCTTCAGAGCTATTTTCAGAAAATGTTTTAAAGGCCAGTGCATTAATAAAAATAACTAGCCTGTGAATCAAAACATAATAATGATACTTTTATTAAAATCACTAACTCAGAAGTACAGAAAATGTTTTGAAATTGTAACAAATAAGGGTTTTCTTTTTCAAACTTTCTGGGGTTTTAAGTCATTTGTTGTTGTTGTTTTGTTGTTGTTTAAGATTTGTTCTCTTCCTTCCTGAAAATTTTATTTATTATGCAAGACAGTGACTCTATGTATTCATATATACCTAAATGTATGTATTTGTGTGTTTTTAAAGAAATTTATACATTTAGCTTGGAGAAATTTTAACTTTCTTTACCATTCCCAAGAAAAATCAAGTTTAGGATATTTGCTTTTGAAGGGCCAGAATATTGTGCTTGAAAATTGGGTCAGTATACTCTGAATCTGACTTCCTTTTGTTTTGTTTTTTGAGGCAATATTTTACTACATAGTCTAAGCTGTGCTTGAACTCTCCGCATTCCTGCCTCAGCCTCCTGAGTTTTGAAAGTGCTGGAATTGCAGGCAGTGTTTGCCTCTCTCCCACCTGACTGTTCATAAATTATTCTGCTTGGTTGAACTGGATATCATTTCCTTTCTTCTTTGCTGATTCAAACAGAAAGTGAGTTTCATATTTTCTTTAGGAAGCCATTCATACCCTGTATATTTATTTAAATTTCATAGCTTCTGAAATCACAGAAACAAATATAAAGAATAGGGTCGTTTTTTGCTTGTTTGTTCTTGTTGGTTGTGTGGAACATGAATGCAAAGCCTGGGTGTTGGTTGTCCCTGAGCATTTTCGCTCAAGGCTAGCGCTCTAGCATTGTGAGCCACAGTACCACTTCTGGTTTTCTGGTGGTTAAGAATCTCATGTACTTTCCTGCCTGGCTAGCTTTGAACCATGATGCTCAGATCTCAGATACTCAGCCTCCTCACTAATTAGACTTACAGATATGAGCCACCAGTGCCTGGAAAGAATAGGTTTTATTTAGAAAAATCTCAGTAACTATGCTAGCCTTGAACAAACCTGTGCGCTTCCCCTTTATTTGATGGAACATCAGAAGGGCCTCTCTATTTGAAGAGTTGAGTAAGCTTCATTTGAAAGAGAGGATGTGAGAATGGCACCAAGTGGTTAAGTGGTCTTGGCTATTTATCTACCTGTTTTCATGACATATACCTTTCCAATAGCAGGGGAACTATATGCTTAGTCTTACCTGGATGAAAGAAAATCTCTGTTTAGGGAAGATTAGATGTGAGCTATGCCCACTAGTATTTTCGGCTGGACTTTAGCAGAATTTAATATCTGAAAGAAGCATTTTTTTCCCTCCTATTTAAACTTTTTTCTACTGAACAAGACTAGTGTTCTACCACTTTGAACCACAGTACTACCTCGGTTTTCTGGTGATTAATTGGAGAGTCTTGGACTATTCTGCCTGGGTTGGCTTTGAACCGAAATCCTCATATCTTAGCCTCCTGTGTAGCTAGGATTACAGGTGTGAGCCACTAGCACCCAGTATAAACATATCTTCAGAACTAGGAATCCCATAGGAATTATGAAGCGTTTAACTGCTCAGGTATTTTTCTACCATAGCAGCACATAATTGTCCAAAAATCCTTCTTGAGAAAAGTTTATATAGCTAGCTAGCAATTACATAATAATTATACCAATAGCTGTTTGTTAAGAGTACCTCTTATGTGTCAGTTCTTAAAATAGTAATTAAGGTGAATAAATGAAGCCAAAGGCTCAGAGATGTTAAGCAATGCCATGTATGCATTGGAGGGTTGAACATGGTTCTATTAGGCTATGAAACTCATTTTCATTCTCTATGCTTTTTCATAGTAATGAATTACTTAGGAAATTTATTTATTGCTTTTCAGAATGCAATTTCTTCTCCTCCCGTCCCCTCCCCTTTCTTTCCCTCCCCTCCCTTCCTCTCCATCTCCATCTCCTCCTCACTCTTTTTTGGTGCTGGTTCTGGGGCTTGAACTGCTGGTCTGGGCGCAGTCCTTGACCTTTTTTCAGGCAGGTGCTCTACTACTCTATCTGTAGCTCTTTTTCCAGCTTTTTGGTGGTTAATTAGACTTTACTGCTATTGGCTAGCTTTGAACCATGATTCTCAAATCTCAATGTCCTGAGTAGCTAGGATTATAAGGTATGAGCTACTGCCTCCTGGTTATGACCTCTGTTTTTTTTTTTGGGGGGTGGGGTCTGGTCGTGGTGCCTAAACTCTGGGCCTGGGTGCTGTCCCTCAGCTCTTCAGCTCAAGGCTAGCGCTCTACCACTTGAGCCACAGTGCCACTTCTGGCTTTTTTCTTTTTGCTTATGTGTTGCTGAGGAATTGAACCCAGGGCCTCATGCATGCAAAGCAAGCGCTCTACCACTGAGCCACCTTCCCAGCCCCACTGACCTCTGTTTTTTAACTACTAATTGGAAATTAGGCACAGAATTTAAACCTGTGAAAGAAGGTCTTTAATATTTTTTATTTGGATAGTATCTTTCTTCAAATTGGTTTCTACGCTTATGAGTCTTTTTATCCCGGTGTCTTTTGTGAAGTAAATTTCAAGGCTGAATTATTCTCTTTTCACATTTTTTTTTCTCAAAAGAAAAAGCATTGTAGAGTAGTGGCCACTATCAAAGAAAAGTAACAGAAAGTAATAAAACAGGATGTTAGGGGCCAGAGCTCCATTCTTTTTCCCATCACATGCGTTATATAATTTTGTGCAATTTTTTTTTTTTGCTTATATGGTGCTGAGGAATCGAACCCAGGGCCTCAGGCATGCAAGGCAAGCGCTCTACCACTGAGCCACCTTCCCAGCCCCGCGTTATATAATTTTGTATTTGCTTTTGTTGGGAAAAAAAGGAAGAAAAATTTCCCTTTTATTGTTTTCTCATTTGTCTTCTCTTAGGCTTTTTGTTCAGCTTTGAATAATTCATTTTGGGAAAGATTTTCTCACTTAGGAAGAGGTCAGCTGAGGGAGACCAAAGATCATATGCCTTGCTCTAAAGACTTCATT